GGAGGAGAACACGAACATTACTACTGAAGAAGACAAGTCGTAACCGGAGTTCTTTGAGATTAGAGGATTAACCTCGTTTTCCCATCTTTGTGTATAGCTCTAAACAAATACCTCCAAAATACTACCAATTCGTACCACTTTCTCTCCTTTGTTTGTAATTTGTTTATTGATCGAATATTGCATATAAGCGACTAATCGGGTTGTCTGTAGAGAGCTACCAGGTTTGGGTTATCAGAGAGAGAGAGAGAGAGAGAGTTCAGGGGGGTAGAATGCAAAGTGGTAAAAGGGATAGCAAAAATAGCAATAAAAAATAGTTGTTGGGACATAAAGCAGAAAAATATGTGAGAGTATACTTCAGGGTAAATGCATCTCAAAAGAAAATGGATGATAGAGAGATATTATAAAATATGTGTTTGGGAGTTAAGTTTCGGCCTTGGGTAGAAAAATATCGTAAATATAGAAAAAATAGATCATATAAAAGTTGGCGAGGCTGATATACCAGGGAAAAATATAACAAGAGCCCTTTGGTAGACACAGAAAAAAAGTAATAAAAAGTGGCTGTGGATGGAAGATATAGGGATTGAGGAGAGACAAAAGAAGAAGTTAAGTCGATCGACGATTGGAAGAGCTGGTTGAAATGAGAAAGAGAGAGTAGTCCTGAAGAAGATCGATGAGTATCATTTGAGTCGCGTCTTGAGTTGGTGAAAGGTTGAAAGAAAGGGTGTGAAAGAACAAAATGAAAATGATAAAATAAGGAGGAGGGAAAACTTAAACAAAAATAAATAAAAGAACAGGTAAAACAAATAAAAAAAATCACAATAAAATCAGAAAAGATGAAACGAAAGACGAGCTGAGGGGGGATGGCATAACAAGGAGAGAGAAAAGAGGTCTACAAAGAAAACAAGAAACACAAAAGAATCAACAAAAGAAAGAAAGAAGCTAATGGCAATTAGAAAGAAGAAAACAACCTAAAAAGAAGGGGTGTGAGACGTTGGGGGTAAGATGGGTAAATGGGTGATAAATGCTGGTGCTAGGTTTGAACTATGGGATTGACTATGTCGGAGTTGTGGTAGAAAGAGTTACGGTAAGTGAAAGAATGAGATATGGGATGTGGGAGAGAATACTGTCGCAAGAGATGAGAATAACCATTTGGGAGGTGTCCCTACACCATGGCCATCTCCACGCCGTCGCCCCAGGTGCTGCCCACCACCTCCAGCGGATCGCCGCCCAGCAGAAGGTGGTGGTGGTCCTGCTGCTGATGCTGCTGCTGGTGGTGGTGGTGTTGCTGGCTATGATGGCCCTGGTGATGGCCATTAGCACCTCCAATGACACCAGCTGACTGGATGTGGTGGTGATCAAGATGGCTGCCATTGCCATTGCCGCCGCCGCCACCGCTGCTGCTGAGCAGCTTGCCGCTCGAAAAGTCGGTAATCTGCGTGATGATGTCCAGGTCGTTGGCGAAGGACGTTCCCGAGGGTGGCAGGGCTGAAGGAAAGAAGGCACAGTGTTACATCCAAAATCAGTTAATCAAAAGGAAGAGATAACTGCTTACTGAGAATGGTGATGATGTTGTTCTGAACGGCACCACCTCCACTACCGTTGAGCTGTCCACCTACACCTCCCACTACTCCTCCATCATCACCGACGCCGCCGCCCACCATCGTCAGCAGGTCCTCCAGCGACTGGTCATGGGCATCCAGTGCGGCGTACTGCTGCTGCTGCTGCTGAAANAAAATAAAGATTTAAAGTTGCTTACTGAGAATGGTGATGATGTTGTTCTGAACGGAACCGCCGCCACTACCGTTGAGTTGTACACCTCCCACTACTCCTCCATCATCACCGACGCCGCCACCACCCACCATCGTCAGCAGGTCCTCCAGCGACTGGTCATGGGCATCCAGTGCGGCGTACTGCTGCTGCTGCTGCTGAAAGTGCTGAAGTCCACCGTTGCCATTGCCAAAAACGTTCGTCGACTTGCCGCCAGTCAGCTGGAGGCTGTAGCCCTGATTCGAGGTAGTTGGCGGCACCGTCAGCTGGCCAAAGCTGTCCAGGCTGAACTGCTGCTGCTGCTGCTGCTGAAGCTGATGATGATGATGAACACCTCCGGTGTTTGAGGTGGTGGGCAGGACGGTGATGTAGTTATTACTGTTGCCTCCGCCAATTCCCATCTTCAGCTGGTTACCACCCTTCATCTGGGCGCTGTACTGGCTGCTCATCAGCGAGATCTGCTGAGCCTGATCGACGTTCATCGCCTGCACGTCCACCATCATCTTCAGCGGCGACAGCGTGCCGGAGAGCGAGCTGTCATCCAGGCCTCCGTCTCCACCTCCGGGGCTCTTCACCGACGAGTCCGAGGTGGTGGTGATCGAGGAGGAGGCGAAGCTGATGTCCCCGGCGGAGATCGTCTTCAGGGCAGCCTTGGTCAGCGACGAGGAGACGGTGTTCGAAATGGACGACGAGGAGGAAGATGAAGTCATGAGGACCACCTTCTCCGGGTGCTTCTTCCGCTGGTGCTGCATCAGCTTCGCCTTGCTGGCGTACTGCTTGTGGCACCAGCTGCAGAAGTGCGGATGCGTGGTGATGCTGCCCACCGTCGCGGAGAAGGTCGAGTTGACGACGATGCCGTTTCCGTTTCCGCCGCCTCCATTGCCGCCACTGCCGCTGTCGTCGGTGGACATCGCCGCCGCCGCTGCCTTGTTTCGATTCGAGGCGGGCAGTGCTTTGCCTGAGAAGGAGGTAAATGGTGTGAGTTTAGTTTAGTTTTGAATAGATAAGAGCACTTGACCTGGCACACTTACCCGGATGATTCTTGACAATGTGCGCCTTTCGCTTGGAGCTGGACTTGTAGATCTTGTCGCAGTACTGGCAGTAGTAGTCCTTGGAGGTCTGCGGGAAAAGGGGAAAAGGAGTTAATTTCTAAAGAAATTCTACTAAATCTTATCCCTTTACCTTGATGATGGGCATGGTGAGCTCGGGCACTGAGTCGTAGCGCACGTCCGGGTGGCGCTTGGCGAGGTGGTTCACCAGCATGCCACGCCGCTTGAAGCCGAGCAGACACTGCGTGCACTTGTACATGTACTCGTTGTAGTTGGGCTGGCTGGGCTTCGTCGCCACCCGCTTCGTCCGGTTCGCCTTCAGGCGCTGCGCTCGAGCGGCCAGCTTCGCTGCAGTGGCTAACGAGCATTAGGAGGTGCAAATTCAGAGAGGATAGGGTAATAGAGTTTAGGAGGCAAAGAAAATAAAACAAAAACAAAACGGAAAATGAAAATAAAAAAATAAAATGGAAAACTTGTAAACTATCACCACCACCACCACCCACTTACCGGCAATGCGCACATCCCGGTCGGGGGCGTGCATCCGCTGCGTGTGCTCCTTCAGCTTGTCCTTGCGCTTGAACTGCTTCTCGCAGAAGTCGCACTTGAACTCCCAGTGGTTGCTGTGGCAGAGCATGTGCAGGCGCAGTTTGTCCTGCCGGGGGAAGACCTTCTCGCACTGCCCACACTGGAAGACCTCCTCCGAGTGGAAGGACTTGATGTGCTTGCGGATGGGCGAGAAGTCGTCGAAGGTCTTGCTGCACTTCGAGCAGTGGTAGAGCCCGGTGGCGGGGTTGACGTGCACGGCGACGTGCTCCCGCCGCTGCTGAATCGTCTCGAAGAGCTGCCCGCAGAGGGTGCAGTCGTACTTGCGCGGCTCGTCGGTGGAGAAGCTGTAAAAGATGTTGTAGGATTAGAGGAGAAGTTTAATTAGACAAATCCTAGACCCGTGTAACTTACCTGTGCGTCTTGACGTGACAGGAGAGCGCACTGTTGGTGAGAAACTTGCGCTCGCAGACCTCGCAGGAGAGGTGCTTCGCCGTCTCGTCGTGCACCAGCTGGTGCTTGTCGAGGCGCTCCTTTGTGGAGAAGCGCTTGTAGCACTCGCGGCAGCGGTACGGCTTCTCACCACCGCCGGAGAAGATCTTGCCGCTGGCGATGATGTTCGAGGTGGTGGCGGTAGAAGAGCTCGAGGGGAGGCCATTTTCCGACGAATTTGATGCAGTGGTGGTGGCGGTGGGGGCTGCCTTCAACTCAAAGAGATTCGTCGAGGAGACGTTATCGCTGCCGAATGAGGAGGAAGAAGAGGAGGAAGAGGAGAAGGAGGAGGATGCAGAGCTGCTTCGACTGCGACTGCTGCTGGTGGTGGTGGACGATCGCTGCGCCAGAATTCGACTGGGAAGCATAGCCGCCGAGTTGGAGTTGGAGTTGTCCACCGTCTTGTTCATCAGCTTGTCAAAGAGGCGACTGTTGCTGCTGCTGGTGCAGCCACCTTGGTTCTTCTGGTGGAAACTGCTCTGCTCCGAGGTGCCATTCGAGCTGATGAAGTTGTTATTGCCGTCATTGCCACCGCCTTTATTAAGCAGCTGCAGCAGGTGATGATTAGGCTGCTGTTGCTGCTGCTGCTTCGCTTGGCGTTGATTTTCCGCGGCCAGTGCTGCAGCAGCAGCCGCCGCTGAAGCCGCTTCTTCGGCTTCTTTTGCCGCTGCCGCCGCAGCTGCTGCAGCCTTCGCAGCCATCTCGTCCGGGGCATTCAGCAGGTCATCGGGCTCAGTGACCAGCGGAATGTTGGCCAGCGTGCTGTCGATGCTCTTCAGCAGCAGCTCCTCGTGGGTCAGCTTCGGGTCGTGCTTCTTCAGGTGCCGATTGCGATTGTAGACGTGGTTGAAGGCCATGCCGCACTTGTGGCACTTGTACTTCTTGACGCCTGCAAAAACAGATTTTTTAATTAGTTTACCACACACTCTTTTTGAAAGTTATCTTACCTGAATGCATGACTAGGTGCCGGCGAAGGCTGTACTGGCGGGGAAAGACGCGCTCGCAAATGTCGCACTTGTACTGTGTTTTTCCGCCGCCCACC